TATTATATACCATCCGAGGTTGGACATAGCGTAGGGCAAGCTGAGTACACCAGCACCAACCATGGCAGTGACATTGTGAAACGCAGAGTACCACCATTTGGCGTTCCTAGAGGATGTTATCGGCAACCAATCGTCCACATTCTTCTGCCTTGTAGATGCAGCCTCGCTTGATGAGGACAACTGATTTTTCCCCATATTATATTTGGCTACTTCAACTCTTCTGATTGATTTCTCGAGAACTAATTAACCAACAAAGCCGATACCAAACGGATATTGGAACCTAGAGGGAGAGAAAATTAGGTGACACGCAAAAGGTATTGTTAGAAAGATGAGAGCCACACAAAAAATTGTGTAAGAGGCAATTCTTTTTGAAGGTGGTGAAGGAGGCACAACACCAACGTTGTTAGATTTGTGCCTTGCAATGACAAAAACTGATTTCTTTCAGTTCATTTATACAGCTTAATTCCACTATTTTTCTTCTTTTAAAAAAATCCTTTTAATTAATTAGAAAATAGAAAGAATGTGTAGGTTGTCTGTTACCTTACGACAGGTTTTAGTTCGTTTTCTGTCTCATAAGAAAGCTATGTGCTGTAGGGAGCCTTTCATGGAGATGTTGTGGTGTATGTTCTCTAATTACGGTTATATCACTTTGGTGTGGTGATGTGGTAAAAGTCAACGCTTCCTCAAAATGCATGAATTTCGGGATGACCTAATCTAAAGAGTGTTTTGCTATTTTTGACCAACATATTAGTTATTGATTTGATTTTGTTCTGTCTATTTACTCTTGTTTTTTTAACTGTTATATCCACTTACTAATTTAGGACGATTTTACAAATTTAATAACAACCCTTTTATGGCGAAAAAAAATAACAACCCTTTTATCTTTTTTCCTAAGGAAAAACAAAATTATACATATGTGTGAGCCACAACATTAGTCTTTCGACGAACCTATGCATCAATCTTTGATCACCTATGCATCAATACAGATACTTTATTATCTTCAAAATCCGGCGAGACAAGAACACTTACTAAAACAAGCTAAACATAGTGATAAATATAAATAACATTTTCCAACTTTTCGTTAATGTTATCGACTTTCTACCGTTTGCAATCTCAGTATCTCATGCAGATTGACATGCATATATTATGACGCTAAAATCAGTAACGTTAGCGACAAAGTGAAAAAAAAAAGAATAGATTTCAAAACAGATTTATGGTTAGCTTGGAATTTGAATAATCTTTTCACTTGATATATATATATATATATATATATATATAATCTTTCGGGTTTAGATTAAACCAACGATGTAGATAGTTTACGGAAAAGATTACCTTCGGCCGGGTGATATGTTACGGAAAAGGATACGTGGTTAGCGAGATTTGATAATGTCATTTCTCACTTGGCCGATGAATCTGTTACAGGACATTGAGGCATGCATGGCTAAAGTATGGCAAATTACCCGGAACTGAACCGAACTAGCTAGAACGTTTGGATTCAGTTTTGGATAATCATAAATATCCATTGGTTGCATCTTAGAACTAGTAATTTGGATATTGAGCTTTGAATTCTTGTAATGATATTTGTGGATATGAGTTCTCCTTTCAAATCTCTCTCTTTCCTTGTTCTTGTTTGTTTGCTTGATGACAAACAAATACTAAATGTGAGGGAGTTAATATACTCATATTTTACACCATTTTAGCATGTATCTAATCTTGATTTTATGTCTTTTCCTTATGTTTTTGTTGTTTTTCTCTTAGTTTTTCACTCATATAGAGTTTAAGATATTTTAGATGATGTCCACGAGAGTTTTGCATGTTTTGGAGTGTTTTCTAGATACTTTGGAAGTAATGGAGACTTGGATAAGTTTATAGGATAAGCTTGAACCATTGGAGATGCATTTAATTTGAAGGATTTGGGATGAACTTAAAGGACGATATGAAGAAGTACCATCGGCCATTGACATCGGCCTTCAACCTCAAGCCAAAGCCGAGGATGCACAAGCGAGTGCCTATCGGCAAACAGCATCGCCAATGCACCTGACCAAGACCGATGGGAGCTTGCTTTGTTCCTGCCTTGGAATGTTCTCCCCGAAGCCACCGAAGTGTCTGAAACATTGGGCCAGACGAAGCGCTTAAATTCCGATTAGCTTTGGAGTTCTTCATGAAAGTTGTAGATAATTGAATTAACTTTCGTCTGAAAGTAGTTTCAAGTCAGTCCGATCAGTAGTTCAGGAGATACACCAAATTTAATATGAACATGTCCTAGATATAGAGGAACCTCTGCACATCTCCCTCGGCCATTGACATCGGCCAATGTACCATGTCCAAGGCTGAGGAAATGCATGCGAGTGTACATCAGCCATTGACATCGGCCTATGCACAACTCCCATGGCCGACCTCCTTCCAACCCAGACCCAGCCAGTACCTATGTAAACATTTTGAATAGCCAAACCAACCAAACACCAAATAGATATCTGAAAAATAGAAAATACAATTGTATATCCGAAAATATTGATTATAATTAAATCTGAAATAACAAAATAACCTAAACTACTATTATAACCCCAAATATATCAGTTAGGTTTAGACTTGAAATAAAAATACTCGTAATAACTGAAATAATTTGCAAATGTGTTTGGGTATATTAATTATTTGAACGTTTGCTTTGTTATTTAGATTAGTTTGAATACTTCGGTGTATTCAAATATTTTTGAGTTTTTTCGGGTAATTAAAATAACTTAACCGAACCAAAACCATGATATTATTATTTAAAGTATTCAAAGCAAACCGATTTTTTTTTATTCCTATGTATGTAGATCTTCATCCAAATTATCCAAAATGTAAAACAACCGATTCAAATACTCAAATGATCATTGGCTGCTAGATTTGGCGTAGAGATATCAGATATGTTGTGGCTTATCAGATGCGTAGTTTTTTTTTTGTGTAGGTTTGTAACTTGTAATTTCTGTCATAAACGGCTAAACTAGTAATTGGATATAACAGTTAAATAAATAAAAAATAGATAGGTCAAAATAAAGTCAATAACTGATAAAATAAAAGATACCGAATTTAATTAAACCGCTCTGCTCTGGAGGCGATCTCTATGGCGATTTCTTCAATTTTTCTCATGAATTTTTTCTCTAGATCTTAGTAGATATTAATTAAGAGAGATAAAGAGAGAACTATTCTCTTTTCTCATGAAGATTCTCTTCTTTTTCTATTCTATTTTGATCCTTGTTTTCTTCGTGTCTATAGTACAGAGAAAAAGTGAAAGGTTTATGACACAAATACTCTTCTTGATCAATATGCTTCATTTGCAGTTTTGACGTTTTCTTCGTCTTCTTCTCTCGTTCCTCTTTTTGAGGACAGTTCCTTCCCAGATTGACTATAAAATGGGGCAGTTTTATGTCGGTTCTGTTTGTGTGTCCTCTGGGCTATCCATTTCCGTAGTGAAGATATCCAACCAATACGATGACGACGCAACAGAATCGAAGTTTGTCAACCCTCAAAACTGGAATCAAATAGATCGAAGAATCTGGGTCGTTATCAATGATCGAGTGCAAACATTACAACGATGGTCCTTGGGTCGAAGAATTTGGGATCCGGGAATATTATATATTTCTATTAATTCTCGCCCGTATTCTACTGATGATTTTACTCTGATGACTAAGGGTTTACTACCATGGAAACCACCATGGAAAGTATGGTCAGGAGTGGAAGATGTATCCGTGTTGTATGGCGATATTCGTATAGTCGTTGAAAATTGGCAATCTCATATCTTATTTCGATCGATAGAATCAGTAAATTGGATTTTTTTTCGACGAATATTTCTAGTTCCTATTTGGGAATTGGCCAATGTTATACAACATAGAAAACACTGGATGATAGCCATAGACGAAGATCGCATCAAATCAAATGCGAATTAGAAGGACAGGATGAATACTCTATTTAAGAGTAAAATTTCTAGTAGAAAAATGTCTAATGTTGTTTTGTTTTTATGTTATTGTATTTTTCTTATCTATTGTATTTTTAATGTAATTTGATTTAATATAAATAAAATAGACGTTAAAAAAAAAGTCAAGAACTGATATTCTGGTCAATAATAGCAAAACACTTTACACTAGGAGTGGCCACCCCAACATTCATTGACTCCAATTACCAAAATCTCCACGCCAAAAGATGAGAAGATACAAAGAATACCAAAAGTGGTGTAACCATAATTAGAGACCATGCATACACCACAACATCCCCCATGAAAGGCTTCCGCACAGCATATGGCTATCTTATGAAACAGAATGGTATTACCTGTCGTAAGGTCACAAACAACCCATTATTTCTATTTTAAAACTAATTAAAAGGGCAAAATGGAAGGGAAAAAAAAGTAGAATTAAGTTATATAAATGAGCTGAAAGAAATCAGTTTTTATCATTGCTAGGCACTAATCTAAAAACGTTGGTGTTGTGAATCCTTCACCAGCTTGAAAAAGAAGTGCCTTGCTCTACATATAATTTTTGGCTCTCACAATACCTTTTGTTTGTCACCTTTTTCTCTCCCTCTCAGTTCCAAAATCTGTTTGGTATCGGCTTTGTTGGTTAGTTCTCGAGAGAATCAGAAGAATTGAAGAAGCTACATATAATTAATATGGGGAAAGATCAGTTGTCCTCATCAAGCGAGGCTGCATCTACAAGGCAGAAGAATGTGGATGATTGGTTGCCGATAACATCCTCTAGGAACGCAAAATGGTGATACTCTGCGTTTCACAATGTCACTGCCATGGTTGGTGCTGGTGTACTCAGCTTGCCCTACGCCATGTCCAACCTCGGATGGTATATAATATACCCATATTCTCTTATATTTTGATTAAATTTTATAGAAGATCTTTTAAGAAAATCTTTGACATATAATTAATGACTGGTTTATCATTGATGCATGGTAGGGGACCTGGAGTGACAATAATGATAATGTCATGGGTCATAACGTTTTACACATTGTGGCAAATGGTGGAAATGCACGAGATGGTTCCAGGGAAGAGGTTCGACAGGTACCACGAGTTAGGTCAGCATGCGTTTGGGGACAAGCTCGGATTGTGGATTGTGGTGCCACAACAGCTGATAGTTGAAGTAGGAGTGAACATTGTGTACATGGTGACTGGAGGAAGGTCATTGAAAAAAATCCATGATCTTCTTTGCACTGATTGCAAAGACATAAGAACAACATTTTGGATCATGATCTTTGCTTCTGTACATTTTGTTCTCTCCCACCTCCCTAACTTTAACTCTATATCTGCTGTCTCCCTCGCTGCTGCCGTTATGTCCTTGAGGTAAGCCTAAATTTATACGCAATGATAATGAATTTCATTATTTAAATGATCAAAAGTGATTATATATACATATATGTTTGTGAGAATTTCTCACATCCAAAAGTTAAATGAGACCTAAGTAATATTCAAAACCAATTGAGAATGAGTGGTTTGTATATGTTGCTTATCTACTACTAACTATTTAAGGTTTTTACTTTCATTTTCTTGACATGAATTTGTTTGTAATAAAAAATGCAGTTACTCGACAATCGCTTGGGGAGCATCGGTGAAGAAAGGGGTTCAACCAGATGTTGACTATACGTTTAGAGCCTCGACGAACTCAGGAAAAATATTCAACTTCATGAATGCCTTGGGAGATATCGCATTTGCGTATGCGGGTCACAATGTTGTGTTGGAGATTCAAGCTACTATTCCTTCAACACCTGAGAAACCATCCAAGATCCCAATGTGGAGAGGAGTGGTAGTTGCCTACATCGTGGTCGCCATTTGCTATTTCCCCGTTGCATTTGGTTGCTATTACATTTTTGGAAACAATGTGGACGACAACATTCTTATGTCATTGGAGAAACCCACTTGGCTTATCGTTATGGCTAATGCATTCGTGGTTGTCCATGTTATTGGAAGCTATCAGATATTCGCAATGCCGGTTTTCGATATGCTCGAAACCTTTTTAGTTAAGAAGATGATGTTTGGATTCTTCCTTCAAACTCCGTTTCATCACTCGAACCCTATATGTTGGTACGTTTTTGTTTTTTGTTAGATATTGAATCAATACTCTTACATAACAAAATCTGATTTTATAACACATTGAACTTGATGGAACAGCTTTAACCATGTTCGTTGCAATATGCATTCCGTTTTTCGGTGGATTACTCGGATTTTTTGGAGGATTCGCCTTTGCTCCAACAACTTACTACGTAAGTAATTCAATACACAAATTAAGTTTATTCATTTGTTTTAAACAAAAACTCAAGTACATCATTTGATACACATTTTATTTTTCCTATGATTAGCTACCATGCATCATGTGGCTGATTCTCAAGAAACCAAAGAAGTATGGATTATCTTGGTCTATTAACTGGGTATGTGCCTTTTACTTATCATTCTCTATTTTATGTGTTTTTTTTTGGATTAAAATTTGACAGAAAATTGTTGTTTGGTTTTGTGAAAATTGCAGTTCTGCATAGTAATAGGTGTTATGTTGACGGTCATAGCTCCTATTGGTGGCCTCAGAAACATCATTATCTCCGCCAAAGGCTACAAGTTCTTCTCTTGAAAAAATGTATAGAAGGATCATTATAAAGTGAAAACTCTAAATTTTTAAACAAATATATGCAGTCATGTGTAACTGTGGAAACCCGTTTATGTTAGGGATTCCAAATGTAATACGAAGATTTAAAGAAAAACATGATTTGATGCTGCTTCTGTACATTTTATCTCTCAGGTTGATTTAAATGTGCAGTATCTCCTATCAAATATATATATCGATGTTTAAAAAAAAGGTCTATCAATTTGGCTATGCTTCCCATGGTTTTATTTATACCATTCTGGGATTTTCAGATTTATCTTGAACCAACCATTTATTAAGTATGACCAGAGCTACCTCATAATTCATCCATATGCAATCACCAAGATGTCTGTTAATTTAATTTTCAAGTTTAGTTGATCTTCTACATATGAATCGACAATTTTGGTTCAGATGACTTTGTCTGGATTGATATGTGTTATGTAAACAATAATTATTTTTAAAAATAATTATATAATAATATATAAAAATTTGGTGTAAAATAATTATATTACTGTATACAAGAAAACGGCACGCAGTCTTATTGGATTATACAAAAGTTTGGTGATTGCATATCAGAAAATCGTCCCGTTTTGTTGAGCTTTATAAAAACGTTGGATTAGAAAAGGACTTAGTAAAAAAGTCAGCAAGGGTTTCTCTCTCGTCGCCTGCAAGGCTGCAATTATTTTTCTTCTTCATTTCTTCGTATTCACGCTTTTTCAGGTGTTTTTTGAGTCGTCTCTCTCCTCTTCGCTTAGCTTATTCATTAAGCCATGGCTCCTTCAAGATGGATCAGGCCCGAGGTACCGTTTCTCATGATCAATATCTGTTTATTACGACTCTGCGTTACTTTAAAACGTTATCTGATCGATTTGATTCTTACTTTTGGGATCTCATAATCAAACAATTTATACAATTTTCGGTGTAAAATTAAATCTCCTTAAGAGACACAAGATTCAAGGCTGATCTCACTAGTTTGTGCGATCTCGGGATATTGAAAAAGAATTAGGGCTTTGCGGCCGGTTTTGTCGTACCGCTTTGTGATAGATAGTAAACATTTTCGTCTGACCAGCTTGAGATTTGATGATGGGTCAATTTGATTGGTTTGTGTGCTGTGGCCTATTCAGGTGTATCCCTTATTCGCTTCTGTGGGAGTTGCAGTTGGTATTTGCGTAATGCAGCTCGTGAGGAACATCTCCACAAACCCTGAAGTCAGGTATATATACACTTTGACTAATTATGTGCATGGTCTTTTGATGATTAGTGGAGATCTCTAGCTCTATATATGATCATGACCTATTTTAAATAACAGATGTATAATATATGTGTTTTGCTTTTTATTATGAAATTAAGGGTGCAAATGGTGATGACTGAGAAGAATGGGAGGAATACTGATAAATCCAAAAAAAAAAAAAAGGATTGGAATTATGCATTTTAACCTCTCCTCTTTTGTAGAATAAAAATTTTTAGTGGAATTAGACTTCATTGTTTTGATTAAAGTTAGTGGAGTTAGACTTATTTCCCACTTGTTGAATAGGGCGAGTATTATTTGAAGGAATGCAAATTTATTCTAAATTAATGTTTAATTTTAAAGGAATCCAAAGAAATAGTCAATGCCACTTCATTTTTGTTTGTCTAATTAATGTGTCAACCATTTCCACCCTATAAGATTTGGTGATTTGGGTGTGGAACTTTTTCTATATAATGTTTTATATGTGTGTTTTGTGTATGAAAGATTCAAGATGATCATGTGTGTGAATAATATAATAAAGTGAAAGTGATCAAAGTGGTGTTATCATGCATCAGGGTGACAAAGCAGAATAGGATTGCTGGTGTGCTTGATAACTTCGCAGAAGGAGAAAAGTACGCAGAACACGGCCTGAGGAAGTTTGTGCGCAACAAAACTCCTCAGATCATGCCCTCTATCAACGGTTTCTTCTCTGACCCCAAGTATTGAAACAAGATCTAGTTTTGCATCATGTTGGAGAATGAACTTGTCCTTGGTCAGTGGATGAATAATTTGGTTGCGAATAAAAAACAAACAAACATTAAGTAGTGGTGGTGTATGCTTCGTTTTTAGCACCATGTTTTTCTTCTTTTACTTAATTGGTTTTGTATTAAACCATCATTAAAAAACATCTTTTATGAAGAGTATGCTGAATGGCCCAGATCATAAAATAATTGGGAGAAATTCTGTATAAACGTGTTTTAATGACATACGTATTACATCCCAATGTTATTCCATATCATTCATTTGAAATGTGTTTACTTGTTGAAAGTTCATCTGATTGAGACAAAAACTAAGAAAGTTCTTGATATCCTAAATAATGCTGTTGAGATCAGTGTAATCTTCACCAAATCAACCATTAGTGATTTAATCCTGAACAATGTTGTTGAGATCAATGTAATCTTTATCTCTCTAGTTTTTTTTTGGTCGTTCCTGTTTACTTTTCAGTTTGATTATATGAAATTGTGACTTCTCAAAGACATTTTACCAAAAAAAAATATTATGACTTCTCAAAGACAAAGTGATAAAATTGGTAGTATTCTGATATTGGATTAATTCGTCAAATTTAAGTGAAGAAGCCATCCATTATAAAATTATGTGACTAAGTTAGAGAAACAATGAACAACCGGAAGAACTTAAAAACCTAAGTGTAATCTTTGTAATAAGATTCGACAAGATTTGTATTCTAGAATTAAAGCGCATTTGCTCATATTGTTATTTGTTTTTCTAACTCAGTCACATACTCCATAATGGAATTTCTTCAATGTGATTTGAGGAACTAATAGAACAACAACTACTACTATTATTACTTTGTCATTTGGAAATCTTATCTCAAAAATACCAAAAATATCTCAACTATTTAATTTTTTGGAAAAAACACATACAAACTTTTAGCGTTGTCATAAATTCACACAAACTATTTTTTCGATCCACAAAAATAACCAAAATTTTTAAAATTCCATTTTTCTCTTTTTGATTTCACGGTCATTAACAGACATAACATAATCAATAAACATCGTTAACATTTTATAGGAACAAATGCTAAAAAAATACCTCAACTATTTAATTTTGCCATAAATCCACACAAACATTTTGCGTTACCAGAAATTCACACAGATTATTTTTTCGATCCATAAAAATATCCAAACTTTTTAAAGTTATATTTTTCCTCCTCAAGTTTCAAGGTCGCTATGTTAGTGTTTCGTAATACGTGCTAATTACTCTAGGGTTGATACCATTATTACCCTTTAGAAGAAAAACTTAAACCCTAATTTTTTTCTCTCTTAAAAATTGAGTGAAATCGGTTGAAAAACATGGTTGGTAGTCTAAATCTAGTCGGAAACAATGCGTGTTGTGATATATAAGACTAATAAGAACAATTTGAGAAAATGATATATATGTTCTGAACATGATTTATTGTTTTACTAAACACATTTTTAACCGATTTCACTCAAATTCTGAAATAGTGAGAGAAAAAATTAGAGTTTAGATTTTTCTTCTTAAAGGTAATAATGGTATTAATCCGACAGCAATTAGCATGTGTTATGGAAAACTAACACAGTTTCTCATTTTTTTTATGTCTATAATGACCGTGAAATCTAAGGAGGGAAAATAAAACTTTAAAATGTTTGGATATTTTTATGGTTCGAAAAAATAGTATGTGTAGATTTCTGGCAATACAAAAGTTTGTGTGGATTTATAACAAAATTAAATAGTTGATGTACATTTTTTTAACAGTTTTTTCTACAAAAAATTAACGTCGTTTATTGATTATGTTATGTCTATTAAGTGCCGTGAAATCAGAGGAAGGAAAATAGAACTTTAAAAAGTTTAAGTATTTTTATAGATCGAAAAAATAGTTTGTGTTGGTTTCTGATAATACTAAAAGTTTGTGTGTTTCTTCCAAAAATTAAATAGTTAAGGTATTTTGGGCATTTTTTGAAATTCAGTGGAAATTAAAAGTAGACACACAACATTTGGGCTTACGAATAAGACCCATGGGCCTTCCACTTTATTTGCAACAAAACGACACGGTTTTACGCAGTCGAAAAACACTCACTTCATCTCTTATCGGCTAATATAATTCAGTTGTGTTTTCCCTTAAAGACACCTCTCTCTGTCTTTTGTCTTGTGTGATGACGTGATTTTTTGATGATGAGGGGAGTTCAAGTACCGTCTACTAAATCCATTTCCTCTATTTCTTCTTCTTCGGCTGGGAATGTCGGAGTTCTCTCCCTGAAGTGTGGTACTGGTAATATGATCGAACACCTTGTGTGCTTGAGACATTTTCTATCTATTATGTATTTAATCTTCGCTTTTCTGGATAAATAGATTCTTAAGAATTAGGATTGCGAGTGTTTTTGGATTGTCATCAGTAATAATACCAGTGACTAAGAGAATTATCGCAAAATCAACTCCCTTTCGTGCATGAGCTCAAAGATTGCTTTTTTCTTGGCAGTTTCTTATTGTGTTTGATGCTTTTGAAGTTCAAAGATTACTTTTTTTTCATCTTATTTGGGAAAAAGATTCCAGGGTTGTTCTGGGATTCTGATCTATAAGACGGGTTAGGCTTCAATCATCACTGATTTGATGAAACATTCTTGTATAGAGAATTAGGCCATAACCCTGATTAATAAATTGGAAGTAGTGTAATCGCTATGTTAAACTTGAGTTTATGTTTGTTTTGCAAGATTATTCCTCTAACCTGTGTTACAACAGCCTGTGGTTTCTGTAGTGTCCTGAAGCCGAATAAAGTTGCTTTCAACACCATGATTCTTTCAGCTATGAGGACTTGCTCACACACTCTTCTCCCTAAATTAACCTCTTCGAGAAAAAGGTTGGGGAACAGAACTTCACAGTCCTTTTCAACCACTTCCTTACAAGTCATTTCTCAAGCTAGTTCACCCTTTGTTCAGTCGTTAGTTGTGTCAAACAATCTCTCCCCATCCGAGATCCCACAGAAATCACAAGAATGGTTTGCTCTACGGAAAGACAAGTTAACCACGAGCACATTCAGCACAGCCCTCGGCTTCTGGAAAAAGAACCGTCGTTCTGAGCTCTGGCACGAGAAGGTATACGACTCAGAGTCACGAGTCGTGGAGGATTCTGCGAGGTTTGCAATGAACTGGGGTGTACAGATGGAGTCAGCTGCGATAGAGAGGTACAAAAGAATCATGGGCTGTGAGGTGGGCTCAATGGGATTTGCTCTTCACTCACAAGAACAGTTTCACTGGCTTGGTGCTTCCCCTGATGGAGTTCTCGACTGTGGTATCTTAGAAGTGAAGTGCCCTTATAACAAAGGGAAAACAGACACTGTGTTACCATGGTCCAAGGTTCCGTTTTATTACATGCCTCAAATGCAGGGTCAAATGGAGATAATGGACCGTGAATGGGTCGACTTGTACTGCTGGACACAGAATGGGAGCACGGTTTTCCGTGTGATGAGAGACCGAAGCTATTGGAGGATAATACATGAGGTTTTAAGGGAGTTTTGGTGGGAGAATGTGATTCCTGCAAGGGAGGCTTTGTTGTTGGGGAAAGAGGATGCAGAGGTGAAAAGGTATGAGCCAACATCTACGCATAAGCGTACAGGGCTTGCCATTGCTAAAAGCATAAGTTTGGCTGCGGAATCGAAACTAGTGTGCAGAGAAATCGCTGATCACGTCGAGTTCTTTTAGATGGGTTTAGAATCATTTGATTCATGAACTGGTGATTGATTCATCTTATCATTCACGTTGTGTAGTTATTTAAACTGTTAAATCATGTAACACAGTTTAATTAGATCAAAGGAAAAGGTTTATGTTCTAGACTATCTTTGAGATTTTGGATGTGATATGTTTTACATTGTAAAAATAGGTGAAGACAGTTAGACCAAAGAAGGCTTCATTTTTAAACAGAAAAAAACAAAAAGGACCAAAGATTGATTCTTTGTGCCAACCAAGCAGATGACCAAAGACAGAGAGGAATGTAGGAAAATAGGAGTTGGTTACCTATAATAACCAGAAAGGAAATGAAAAACTGAAGACTAATAGAGTCAAATAAAGGGCAATGAACAAGAACAAACAATGCTACAAATAAATAACTACAAGATGGTCGTTCCTCTAGGCTAGTGTTTCTTTGATCCTGAAATATCTGCAAGAAGAGAAGATGGATTCGGGGCTATCGTGGGCTGATCAATGGGATTATACGAACCCTGACCCTCCTCCGAGTTCGACGAAAGAAGATGAGAGCAACAAGAAGAAGAAGAAGAAGAAGAAGGAAGGAGACGGAAGCAAAAGTAGTCTTGGGAAGACCATCCTTGGGTTCAAATGGATGAAGGATCTTCGCAAGAAATCTGAAAAGTGATTAGTGGAAATTAACCCAAACCTCATTGTATATCCATATGATTCTTGTGGTATTCATTGTATATCCCATTGATTCTTGTTATTCTTTTATATTTAATCGATTCTTTTTCTTCTTCCTCTTCATCGCAATTCAATAATCACTAATGCAAAAGAATTCAATAAAATGCAAACGATAAGTTAACCAAAATCTTAAAAGGGTCGAGACAACTAAAACTTGATAAATCCCAAGAAAAAAAAAAAGAAACAATGGTAATCGAACTCTTATGTTGTGATTTTAAGTAGTCATTTTCTTAGGAAAGACGAGAAAATCTTAAGGATTGTTTGTTCATCTCCTAGACTTCTTTTTTGAGGCCTTAGAGGAAGAAGGTTTCGGATGATCACTCTTAGTGGTCGCTTGGTTCGACTTTGAAGTTGAAGGAGCTGCTTCTTGTTTATCTTGCTTGGTCACTGCACCTTGCGAGCCACGGATCTGAGCTGCTCGCTTGTCTTTCCTCTTGGGTCTGTAACTTGACCTTTCCCTTCTGGGAAGCCACCTTTCAGGGTCTGGAGGTGGACCAGGGTTTGCAGGATCGAATCCTTTGGGATACTTTGGCTTTCTCTTTCTCTTCCTCTTTGCCTTCTCTTTGTTCTTCACATCTTCCTGCATCGATGAATCAGCAGCAGCAGCAGCAGCACCTTCCATGGGTTTAGCACCAGAGGTCTTCTCTAAGTTATCCACATCAACGGCCTTTAGCCCAGGCAACGGCTTTAGTTGTTTCGCGTAAGTTTCTGCTTTCTCGACATTGACGCGAGCAAGTGTGGTCACAAGACCAACCAGAGCATCTGTGCTTCTGTGGGTTTTCACAATCTCCTCATATAGCCGTGAAGCCTCCTCTTCTTGACCATGCCTGAGCTTGAAGGAAGCAGCCTCCGGCATCAATATGCTAAGCTTGTTGTTCTCGATCATCGAATTAGACCACCACTTGATTGCTGAGTCAAGAACAGCAGCAGCACCATCATTGTCCCCAGCACGCTCTTTGAGGACGACAATGGTGGCAACAGTTGCAGGCTGATGCTGGATATCAGTTATTTTGGACAGGGACTCTGCTGCTACATGAGGATGACTGGCAGAAGCAGCGATTTGTGCCCTGGCCAAGAGAACCGACTTAGACTTTTCCGGGAACTTTTCGGCACACTGGCCCAAAAGTTCTTCAGCTTTGGCAGCCTTGTTCTCTCTCACCAAAACAGCAGATTGAAGCAATGTAGGAGTCACACTCTCAGGAAACAGGCCTGGAAGTGCAGCACAAAGTTCTCGTGCCTGAGGTAAAAGATTCTCTTGACTGGTCAAAAGCCGCATATGCAAACAAGAAAACATAGAAGAATAAACAAGATTTCAAGTTAAAAAGACCTGATCTATCTTATTTGCATGGAGGAGGAGAAGGACGCGATTGGTATATATAGCTTCCTTATGTTTCTGTGAAAGCTTCGCATCAAGCGCTTGGGAAAGCTGAAAAATTTGGGAGTCTTTTTCTTTCAGCCGATCAAGCTTCCTCAGGCCATCAGAAACATCTTTTGAACCTTTCAATGCAATAAGGTTGTTCACAGCAACAGCAAGTGACGGTTCATCGTCCAGGTTTCGTTTAATGAAGTCTACATAAGAGCTGGTGGATTCTTGATTTTTTCCAATGAGCTGGTGACAAAAAACCAAGTTACTAACGACTGGAAGATATCCTGAAAGGATGTTAAGGACAAGAAGAGCAGCATAAAAAATACCTGCTGGACATATGCTAATTGGACAGAAATTGGGGCCAGCTCATTCTCAATATCCTCATCAGCAAAACCATCATCCGTTAATGTTTCCTGTCCAATTCTGTCCCAAAGCAACATTATCTTTATCAGGAAATGAGTACATTGTACAATAAAATGTACTTGAAGTGTTGATAAAAGATACAGAAGAGAGGAAATCATGTATACATCCCCATAAGCAGTACATTGATGGGAAAAGCTAGAGGTGTGTCTAGAAGAACAACTGAAAGAAGCTACAGCCCTATTAACAATTACTAGTACGAACAATTGACTAGGAGATATATAAATACTGAGCACTTGTAAGAATATTCTTAGAACAAAGGAGATTATAGACTAGGAGATATACCTCCTGGCAGCTAGCAAAAGTTGTTCTGCGTCGGCGTAATTATTTTTTTCAATCAAAGAGCAAGCAGTGTTAAAAGCCAACTCAAAACTACTAGTTGGTTTGATCCTAAATGACTCCAATGCTCTTTGCACTTGAGAAGCTTTTCCACCTGAAACCAAACCCGCGACGAAATTGACCTCTGCCGATTCAACCTGGGACTTTATCAGTTTCTGATACACATCCACACAATCATCTGTTTTTCCCAGACGGTACAGAATCTGAGCCTCCAAAAGCAAAGTATCTGGATCTCTCTCTCGACCTCTTAAACACGCTAAAGCCTCGTCTAAATTGTTTTGACGGTACAAGCAATATGCCTGTTAAGAGAACAAATCCAAAGCAAACCGTTCCACTAAATCTAAGCATTTGATTGTGAGAAACAAAGCAATGCAGTTCGATTGATGCAAAAATTAGTCCATCAGAAACTGACCTTTTGATACCCTAGATCGATTGGAACCTTGTGGAACGATTGAATTACGGAGAGAGCATCATCGATCTTATCGTCTTTGATTAGAGCCACAACTTTGCATCGGATCGCATCCTCATCGGCAGGTGCAATCGATAAAACTGAAACAAAAATCACGGTTTCAATTTTCACGAAACAAAAACAGGAATTAGATGAGGAAGGGAGGGAGGTAGAAATCTGGAAAAAAAACCTTTATCAGCGACCTTCACGGCTTGTTCATATTCAGATTGGTTGATATGCCTATTAAGAGAAGCGAAGAGATCTTCGATTGTAGGAGGAGGCTGTGAAGTCTGGGTTTTGGGTTTAGGAGCCATGGCCTTGTGGAATTTTCTCGGGGGAAACCAAAACAACGGAGAAGAAATCGGGATCCAGCTATAGAAGGGTTTGCATATTTGTCGTTGACGTATGATGATGATGATGACTGCTTAAGATTTGCCGAAAACGAAATTTCTGGGCTTGATAATGGGCCTATGGCATGATCCAATTATTTGAGTCTTTTTCGTGGCGCTTACGTGAAAGTAGATAAATATTACAGGAAATTACTTTTGAAAACCAAACAGAAAATTTATCGATTAAAATAAATAACGATTAAGCATAATGTGTTGTTTTAATCCATTGTTTGACCTTTTCTCTTTTGGGAACAAGTAAATGTAGTTCTGAATTTTAAAAATAAACTAATTTTAATTTGCAACAATCCTACGCCGATGAGATTATTATGGACCGTAAATTCTAAATTTGTTTATGTTTTTTTTTTGTTAATATTTCAAAAGATTTGATTTATTTGTATATCAGGTTTACTGAGATTCTGATAATTGTCAGATTCCAAGATTCGTTTCAACGTAGAGATTGTTGATTGCATTGCGCATAAATCGTAATGTGAAATATTACACATACTCCATTGAAGTTTAGAGCATGTCTATTGGAGTATGCAAACGTTTTTGGGCCCAGAAACCTAGGCCAAAATGATTTAAAATAAAATAAAAAAGTCTTTTTCGTATCAACCTTAATTAACATACTGATGATACCGTCTCTTACGCCACCTGTTGGCCTATTATTGGCCATAATTTTTTTTTTATTCATTTCTCTCATCTGGTCCACCATTCTTCACGAGGCTTCATTTTTCAGGTTTTTTTTGGTGGCTGAATCTTCTTGACGCGTTTGATTTCTTAAACAATTTCATTTTTGATCTTCAGTGCATAATAAAATCTTGAAGAATTTGCTGAATTTCGGCACTTTTCTTATGCCACCTAAGTGATGAGGAAGAACGGCGACCGTTCTCCGAAGTCGCCGACGACTTCGGACGGAGTTGTGTCGCACTCAGCTCGGAGCTCGTTTCGGGCTTTGTCTAACTGTCTTCGGGTGATTTCTTCTGGTGCTTCCACGGTTGCTCGCTCCGCCGCATCCACCACTCCTTCCGCACCGTTACATTGAATTTCTTCTGGTTCTTCTATGTCGATACTCGAAGAGTTCTTCTATTAGCGTTTCAGTCTGGATTTCAAGTTTGGGATGTTGAAGAAACAGAGCAGTCCGCTTATGGCTGTGTGGTGACAGTTCTTGGGAAGAAAATTCAGATAGACAAAGCATTTCTACGAATGATATCCCCGGAAGTGAAGTCGTAGTCTCTACAAATGTGCATTTCTACTCGTTAATGTCTCAATCTTGAATAATAAAATGCAGCTGTTAAAAAAAAAAATGGTTTTAAGAACTTTAGTGAGGTTCACTATTGGAAGAGAAAAAAATGATGAGGTTGTTAACTTTTAACTAACTAAATTATAATATTAAAAAATTGTTAACAACCCTTTTTAGAGTATCACTAATGTACATGCTCTTATGTTTTGACTTCTTCCTTTAAAAAGGATACTAGTTGAAAATTCCATCATTTTAGTCTATGACGTTGTTCTTCCCATGAAAAATAACTTTTAGTTTTACCTTTTTTTTGAAGTTAACTAAATTGAAGAACTAAATTTTTGTATTCAGGAAATAAAATTGACAAAGACCACTCTAATATGGTCTTTACTTTATTACAAACTGCATGTTCTCATAGTACTTATAACTCGAGATATAGATTTTAGAGACCTTACCTTTAATGTAACTTCTGCCGGAATTATTGTTATTTGGCACACAACACAGTCAACAAGCAAAACCACAAGTACTGCCACAAAATAATATTCGAAAGCATGGCCTTGGCAGACCTAGCTCATGATTATAGAAAAAGAATTAAAAGACGGCATTTACCTCTGAGTAGTAATCATGGCCGGGAAAGACAAGTAAAGAGTTAAGTTTTTTGGTGTTTAACATTTCAGGCGTATCTTTTGTTATGCCATTCTTTTTAGAGTGTGTTACCACTAGATGTACTTTTGAATTATGTAATGTCCAAAAAGGAACTTTTGTGTTTTAATTACTGATGCAAGCAAAAGCGGGTTGTAAACGGGGTTATTTGTTTTTGTTTTACTAAGCTTCAGGTTTTAAATTTATAACCTCTAAATGTCTGCAAGTGCACAGATGTGCGCTGTAGTACTTAGGGTATCGATCCACAGAGACTTAGTTGTTTCAGTACGAATTCAACGCAACGCTTAAATCAGATTAGAACTAAAAGGTTTTGGTTTTGGTTTTGGGTTTTTGTTGTCACTAAATCTAAACTAGAAAGCTAAACAAGTAAAAGCAATTGAAAGTGAAAGCAAATAAAAGCAAGTAAAAATCGATTAAACAAGAGGCGAATTGAAGCAAGTAAAAGCGAATGAAAAGCAAATAGAATTGAAGGTAAAAATCGATTGAAACTAGAAGGCTGTAAACAATTAAAGACAAACATTGGGGCTCAAGGGGTTTCGCAGGGGTTCATGGTCTAAGCTATGTCGATTTTAAACAAGTGATAACGGAAATCAACTACGTATGTTCTAGAACTCGAGGCACGGAAGTATGAATAGCTTACTTTCGCAGCACTAAACAACTATCTCTCGCAACCCTAATCAGTAGGTTTCCACTCTGATTCTGGAAGGGAGAAGATGCAATAGCAGAATAAGATTCATCAACATTCACAACTCAACTACAGGTAGGTTTCCACTCCTATAGAAGAACTGCTCGTTTCACCCTAGTTCAGAAAATCAATGAAAGCTTTCGCAACATATCATATCAGATCGGCTTCTAAGTGGCCAGCAAAGAATCACGCAGTAAGATTAAAGGCAAACAAAGAACATCTAGAAGATTATAAATCCTAAATCTATCGATTCATAATCAAAGACACATGAAATTCCCTTTGAACAATCCCTTTAAACCCAACTGGGTAACTACTCAAACATATTATAAACAATCATCACAGAGTATTGAAAGTTGCAGGAAATTAAAGAAAAGAAGGAAGAAAAACGAAGAACAGAGTTGCAGGTGGAGGCGCGATGATGCTCTCCAGCGGCGGCTCCTTCTTCGGGATCGACGGCGGCGGCTCCTCTCTAGGGTTCCACGAAATCTCTCTCTCTTTCTATCTTATGTCGTCTCCACACCTTTAGGAATGACCTAAAGGGGGTATTTATAGCTTCTGGGGTGGTTCTGAACACTTAGGGCTTCAAAAATAACGAAAGAAATTAATCTGGGCTTTAGTGAAGTCGTCGGGAAAGTGAACGACCAAAGTCCACGGTCGCGGTGGCTCTACCCGCGGGAAAATAGGTGTTGGCCGCGGTCCCGGCACTTGCTCTCTTTCGGAACTGCATTTTCTGTCATTCTTGCATCGAGAGTATTTGAAGATCTAACCGTTGGATTGTCTCCAAACCAAGTGCATTAGAAAGCTGGTTGGATCCTCTATGTTGTCTCAAATATTGGGGGTGATCAGACGGTTAGAAGATCTTCATCGCTTGTCATACTTCTGACGGTCTGCATTTATCCAAAATTGCTTATTTGTTCCAAATTGCATATCTTTTGCTCAAGTTTCCTGTAAAGTCTATTGAAACTCTAAAACATTGAAAACACTTTAAAAACATTGAAAACAGAGTTAAAACACCTGCATAAGATACAATTATGATCCATAAAAGTGGTCAAAATACGGTGTTATCTACTCACCCAGACTTACCTTTTTGTTTGTCCTCAAACAAACTTAAGCCAGGAAAGAAATTTTTGAAAAATCGCAGGAACTAAACAATATCTCAATGACCGTCCTTCTAAACCATAACTTATTGTGAAACATCTATTTGGATCTAGTCTAGAAAATTCTCACCAAAATACAAGCAAACTAGTCCGTTAATCCGTCATGCGAAGATCTACACACTTAGATCTAACTTCCAGTCAACTAGCTCTCTACATTCATTAAGTATAGTGTGAGTTCTCATTAAAGACACTATTCAGGGTAGACGGCGTTTGGCATTAAGGCTATTTAAGTGATGGAGCTTAGGTGTTTTAGGGTTACCTGAAGAATATGGAGGATGCAAGATATTATGCAAAACCGCAAGAGAGAGAAGGACTTGTTGATGACCGCAGATTTTCAATCACTTCTCCTTTGTCAATTGTTGTTGCATAATCTTCCTCCTTTGTTGTAAACAGTTGTTCCCCCAAACTTAGATTCTTTCCGGGAATCATAAAGATAATCTCCAAAACTCAATAAATTCAAATCAAGCTTGCCTCAAGTAAAAAATCGATCCTCCTAGACTCTCTAAGGTTTTAAATTTCCTCTCCCTTCATATTTTTCTTTTCTTTTCGGATGTTTTTTTTTTTTTTTAGAGAGGAAATAACCTTTTATAAAGAGAGAGTGTAAGGGACGAAATTGTACCAAGATTTTGAAGTTTTTCCAAGGCAAACTGAATTATCTCCTTTTGTTGAATTTTTCCAATGAAATCGCTGGTCTCCGTCTTCAGTGACTGAAAACCGCGTTGATTCTCTTTCTCTTCGACATTTTTGCACATATCTGCATATAGGACAATGAAAAACAAGAATGCATGTGGTTTGAAAGAGGTTAGGTTCGGTGGGGAACTAGCTAAAGATAAACTAGCCATTCAGGATCAACAAAGAGTGGTATAAGGAATAAGGAGTCCTGAATGTGATTCGTTTCCCTGATCTAACGCTTTAATGAGAAAATTAAGTCAAAATTAAGTCCAAATAAAATGAGCTAGTGTATCCTGTCAGAAATAATCTCCATGAATAGAAGTCCTCTGGTGGGATTTCGTAATGCAAGTACTTAGCTACCGCCTAGTCTAGGCCTAAATCACAAAAGAGCAAAACCCGAAGTAGAAGCACACTGGTCTAATTCATCATAGTAATGTTTACTGTGTTCCTGGTTTGAAAACTCTTTGAAAAGCATTTTGAAAACAATTTTTGAAAATTTTTTATGAAAAACTTTTAGAAAATTTTATGTGTCCAAAACAAACTCAAAACAAATCAAATTTCATTAGTAATGGATGAACATCCTCCGCCAGAC